AAGCCCGGAACGGTGGTGCTTGACCCGTCGGCGAGGTACACGCGCCCGTCGACCGGTTGGATCGGAAAGTCACGGGCGAGCCTATCGGCGGTGCGTGCGTTTACGAACGACGCCTCGGATCCGGTATCTAGCAGGGCGTCGACGGGCTGTTTGGCTACCATAACGGTTAGGAACAGGCGCGGTTTGTAGACTATTCGGAAGACCGGGGGGCGGCCGCTTCTTCCCCGGTCCGAGCGGCATTTCCCGGCGGCGGGTGGCAATCTTTGGTAAAAACGCCATCCCGGCCGCACTGCGAGCAGAACCGGCGCGGCGGTCGCCGGCAATCAAAACGGGTGTGACCCCGCTGCTTGCACCGCCAGCAGCATTCGCGACGGTCGTAAACTGCGGCGGCGACCGCGGGTTTCGGCGTGATGACTTGGCGGGCGCGCGTCTGTTCCTCGATGTGTTCGAACTCTTCCGCCAGGCGCAGAATGTCTCGTGTACGGGTCACCGTGTCGCGGCGAATATACATCTGGTACCGCGGATGCATATTATTGTACAACGCCTTGACTTGGTCGTCTTCCGCGAATCCGGTGGCCCTCCGCATCATTGTGAGCATTTCGGTCGCGAATTTCCGGTATGGCTCGTCCGGTTTCTGCAAGCGTGTCTGGATTTCGCGGACCAGCGTGGCGCGATACCGGCGCGGCAGGTAATATTCGCGAAAGTCGGCGCAGAAGTCCTCTCACCCCTGCCAGTTGGGGCGGTTGTTCCTGCACCAGAGAAGCGCGTCGCCCCGGAGTAATTCGGGTAGCCCCATGAGTAACTGCGCGCCGGAATAATTATAGGCGTCTTTCAGCTCCTCGAGCCGCTCGAGGAAGGTCACCGGGTCCTTCCCGTCAAAATGGCACCCCCATTTCCGTATCTGATCCATGACCTGGGCGGGGGTCTCGCTGGGCCGGTCATTCGCGGTCGGGCGAAAGGGTACGAACGGCGTCGTCATGACCGGCGGCGTGTGAAAGGCCACGTTCGGCGATAGCAGTGGGCGTGTGTCGATCGCCGGTATGCGTAGGTTTTCGGGCGGGTGCACGGAGATCAAGGGTGTATCCTGCGGCGGGTCACCCCCCACGACGGTGGACGGCACCGTTCCCGGGTGTTCGGTCATATACGCGCTCAGGCGTTGGCGCATCTCGTCAACCGAGCCGTCGGTGTCCAGCTCGAGCTTGTCGAGCTCCGCGCTCAGCTGGCTTTTTGACAACTTGTATATCCACGATTTTGGCATGCTGCCTCTTGATTACTGTCTCTCGAAGCGGATCAAAACGGTCCCTGTTCGGGCGCCATGTAACGGCCTAACTTTATCGAACGCGGACTGGTGTGCGGGATCAGGAGTCCGATGAAAGGCCCAGAGACAATAATCAATTTAGTAATACATGCATTCGTTTATTTAGCTTATTACATATACGGGTGTTCTATATAGCGCAGGGACGGGTGGAACACGATATATACAACGAAGGGGCAGTGCGGCTGCACTCGGTAACGGACGCGGTAGCACGCTATTCGACGGATTCGGTAGTATTTGATATAGCGCAGGGACGGACAGAACGCGGTATATACAACGGAGAAGTAGTGCGGGTGCACTTGACAACGCACGCGGTATCGTTACTCGATAGACGTATTACCGTGCATAAGCGGACGCGGTATCTTGCAGGCCGTGCATGTGCACTTGATAACGGCGCGGTATTTAATAACGGACGCGGTATCGTTGCTCGACGGGCTCGGTATATTACAGGGACGAATTACATATAGGCGGACGCAGTATATTTACAGGTAGTGCCTTTGCACTTGATAACGGCGCGGTATTTAATAACGAACGCGGTATCGTTACATAGGCGTATTACTCGGGCTCGGTATATTACCTAGCCGTATTACATATAGGCGGACGCGGTATAATTACAGGTAGTGCCTTTGCACTTGATAACGGCGCGGTATTTAATAACGAACGCGGTATCGTTACATAGGCGTATTACTCGGGCTCGGTATATTACATAGCCGTATTACATATAGGCGGACGCGGTATAATTACAGGTAGTGCCTTTGCACTTGATAACGGCGCGGTATTTAATAACGAACGCGGTGTCGTTACATAGACGCAGTACTCGGGCTCGGTATATTACATAGCCGTATTATATCTAGGCGGTCGCGGTATAATTACAGGTAGTGCCTTTGCACTTGATAACGGCGCGGTATTTAATAACGACCGCGGTGTCGTTACATAGACGCAGCACTCGGGCTCGGTATATTACATAGCCGTATTATATCTAGGCGGTCGCGGTATAATGCCTGGAGGCTCGCGAATGTCGCGGCATCGCGATGATATGCGTGAGGGAACGCGTAGTATGGGAGATTTCCGGAGCCCCTGGGGCGGCGGCAGCGAGAGCCCTCGTTGCGAGGCCGAGCGCGCTCGACCCCGCAAAACCGTGCCTTCGGGGTGAGTTCTGAGGGAGTGCGGGAACACCTGAGAGCCCTCAGTCGAGACTCGGAGCACCGGACCTCGTTGGCGTGTTCCCTAGGAGTTGGGATTAGGTTTCTTCTGGGAAGCGGATCTTTCGACGAAGTGTGTCTTTCTTGTCGACACGGCGATTTATATACCCGCCCGGCGCGGCGGGTTTGCTAGGAGCGCCGATCGTCGCGCTGCGGTGGGGCGGCGCGGCGCCGCGCTCGTCCTCGGGGCGGCTCGGCTCCCGTCGTCGCTCGTCGGGAGGCACCGGTGCCGCGCTTGGCCCGCGCACACGGTGCGTTTTGACTTGGTTTAAAAATGTGGGCGCACCGCGCCCTGGTCTTCGCCCGACTGGTCGTCGGTCGGACGGCATCCGGCGGTTGTTTGCCGGGAACGATGCTTAGTGCACGGGGTGCATCGTTACAACTTTTACAAAAGGAGGACGTTTAAAAGTAACTGCAGAAAAACACATTTTATGTTATCTATGGTTTGTAGGCCATGAAAGTGCCGGTTATCGCGATGTGGCTGATCGATTTGGGATAACTATTAGCGTTTTACATAAAATTATTACTAGAGTAACTGATTTCATTATGTCTTTAGCACCCAATATTATTCGATATCCAACTGCAGATGAAAAAGAAGAAACAGCTTTTTATTATCGCTATGAGAAAGAGTTTCCTGGTGTAATCGGTATTTTATTATTTCAATCGATATTTACATTTCTGTTCATATTTATATTGATATTTCTATTGATTTTGTTTCATTCTGTTTGATATCTGTTTTTTTAATTTTTTTTAGGTGCTATAGATGGTTCTCATATTAGAGTAGATAAACCTATAGAAGATCCTAACTCGTATATTAATAGGAAACAATATTTTTCGTTGCATCTTCAAGGCGTAGTCAATCACAACATGAAATTTATTGATGTATTCGTCGGATATCCTGGTAGCGTTCATGACGCAAGGTTATTTAGAAACTCACCAATTCGTAATGATCTTCGTGAACTTTGCGGAGGTTAGTTACAAAGTACATTAAATAAAACGTGATTAAAATTATAAGAACAATTGACAGCTAAGTTATTAATTGAAATGTTATTAATCTTTTTTTAGATAATTACTACCTATTAGGGGACAGTGCGTATCCCTGCCTAAAACAATTAATTGTCCCATACAGAGATAATGGGCATTTAACACGTGCACAAAGAAATTTTAACCAAAAATTGAGTTCTTGTCGCGTAGTTATAGAGAACGCTTTTGGTTGTCTGAAACAACGGTTTAGGCAATTATATCATTTTAAGTTACGCGATATAATAAGAATGGTCCGCATTATACACGCCTGTTGTGTACTTCATAATATGGCGAACGCAAGAGAAGTAGAATATTTTGAAGCACCTATGGAGGATGAATATCCAGATATTGAAGTGCAAGGTCAACGTATTGAACAGCGCATTAATGAAATACCAAGAGAAAATGAAACTGGAATACATATTCGCGACGAAATATGCCGCCAATTGAATATTCAATAAACAAGTAAACATAATAAAAAATGCATTATTATATTTCAAATATTTTGTAACCAACTTTTATCTGTACATATTTTTTACATTTGTAAATTATAAGAAAAATAAAATTAAAAAAAAAAAAAAACGTAAATTTTACTTAAACATAATAAACTCCGTCCTGACTCAGATTCATTCGCGAATCGATGGTGGATGGAACCAATTTAGAGTTTTGTGTTAATTAATTCTAGCTAGCCACACTTGTTTTCGAATGCTTAATTCGTCATGATCTAGTCCCGTGAAACCGCTCGACTTTATCGCATTGTCATTTTCTAATTAATGTTCTTAAACTTGTAATGTGTTATGTTATGTGTGAAAACTAGAAAATCGAATAACGGTTAAATTAAATAATCGTTTCCACGGTGGCAGACTGCGCGCTTACTCGCCCAATTGAAAACCTGTTCTAGGATATTTATCTTATTTTCGTATTGATAAAATTTATCGCGCGCTCACGCATCAACCAAAATAATTCTGGTTTTACAATCGCCGGTTACATTCTATAATTAAACGTAGCCTTTTCTCTTTCTTTCCCTCGCCAAAACATATTTTTTACATTTGTAAATTATAAGGAAAATAAAATTTAAAAAAACGTAAATATTACTTAAACATAATAAACAAAACGAACAGTAATTTATATATCTTCCTTTCTTCCTTTGGTTTCTTTATTTTCTTTGGTTTAAATCCTATTTCTATTTGTCTGTTTATAAGTTCTGTTTTGTCTATTTTTGTCTGTTTATAAGTTCCTTTAAAAGCATATTTTTTTCTTCTCTTAATTTATTTGAAGTTTCTAATTGTTCTTGTATTTTCTTCAGAAATTGCTCGTAACTAATTCTCATTTCTTTGTACTCTGTAAGTATTTGCCTTTGTATTTCTAATTTATTTTCTTTTTCTTGCGCAGCATCATTTATAAACTTTTCAACAGTTTCTTGACACTTTTCTACTATTCGTGCAGTACTCCCTATTTTTTTTCGCTTTTGCTTTGTAATAATCTATAAAAAATATA